CTGGGGCGGCCCCTCCAGCCTGGGCGCAACCCCGGCCTCCGCGTCCTCTGCAGACAGGCCTGTGCGCTGGCTGTGCCGGGCGCCTCGCTCCTCTCTAAGCCCTGCCTCAGATGCCTCCTCGCCACCTGGGGAAGCAAGGCTTCGCGTCAGGGCGGGCGACAGCGGCCCTGGGGCCTCCCCCTCGCTCACCGCCAGGCGGGATGCGGTCCGCAGTCCAAGGAACCGGCGCGGAGCCGGGAGGTCCCCACCTGCTCCTGCCGGTGTGGCTGGACCTGCCCCGAGGACTCAGGGATGCTGAAGACGTCGAGGCCGGGCAGCAAGCCACTGTAGCCGCCAGACTCACCAGGCACCGTGAAGTCCTGAGTGTAGATGACGTCGTCCTCGATGTCGAAGAGGTCCTCGTCCCCGCCCTCGGTGCCGCCGTGCAGGTCCTCCAGGTAGGGCACCACCGTCATGCCGCGCCACCGATCCTTGCAGTCGGCGCTCGGCGGGATGGGCACCAGGTCCTCGGCTGGCGGGTGCTTCTTCCGGAACCAGCTGTGGAAGCCTGCACGTCAGGACGGCCTGCAGGCACCCAGCTCTGCTCACCGGCCCTGCCCAGCTAGGCCCCTGGAGACACGCACCTGTGCTGCCTGATCTGCTGTATGGAGAACCTCTTGGCCGGCTCATACTCCAGCATCCCTGATGGGAGACCACAGGCAGTGAGCACCGGCCCGGCCCTGCGGGCTCCGTCCTGAAGAGCTGGGCAGAACTGGGCAGAGCTGGGCAGAGCTGGGCCCGCAGCCAAGTGGATGCGGCTCTCAGAGCCCGACGTAATGCCCCGCGGGCAGCGTGGCTGGGAAGGTGCGGGAGACTCTGCTTTCCACAAGACCAGTCGGCCGGGCGGACGCAGCCCCATGCCCGCGGCATGGGCCCCGCCTGCCGTCCACACGCTCCAGGACAAGGAAGCATGGGCCACCCTCTGCTGGCCCAGCGAGCGAGGCTGGTGGCGATTTTGGCCCAGGACGGCAGCCAGGGCACCACGCCCGGTGCTCATGTACCCAGGGCAAGTCCCACAGGGAAACCCACTCGGAAGGGGCGAGACCTGTCCACAGACCACCTGACCCATGTGGCAAGGCCACATTCAGGCCACAAGAGAGCCCAGAGCCCATGGCCTCGCTGTCCCCTTCCCTGTGGGGGACGGAGCCGTGCCTCCAAGTGACACAGAGAAGGAACCGGGTCAGCTGAGCTCTGAGCGGCACCCATAAGAGGCACCCTTCTCAGAAAGATACAGCGATGCTGGCAGGGAGGCCAGAGCTGAGGGTCCCAGGGGCACGGGGGGGGGGGTGGGTCACGCTGGTGGCCTCGCAGCTTGGGGTGCTGGGGGGGCCAACCAGCTTCTGCCTCCTCTGTCCTGGTCCCCATCTCTCTCTACCCGGCGTAGCTGCCAGCAACACGCCCTCCCTGCGTGCCAGGGCTTCTGAGACACCAGACACCAGAGCCGCGAGACTCATGGGGACACGCCCCATCCTGCCGACAGGACCTCCCCGCTGAGCGCTGGGGCGGGCAGTGTGGGGGGAAGCGGACCACGGGCCCCGGCCGGCGGGGGACAGAGGGGTGGGGCTGCCCCGCCTGCATCTGGGGACACGGGTGTCCCTGCGTGGGGCCGTTTCAGAAATCACCGAGTGGACAGGCAGCAACGGTCACCTTCCACGGGACATGGGCTTCCCGTGAGGAAAATGCCGGCCGACTAGTGCCCATTAGGGAAGGACAGCCCCTAACGCCCGTCGCTGGGGCACGGAGGAGCCTGGGGGTGTCCTGCACCGAGCGCCAGCCGCCTCGGCCACCAGGTGGCCCGGGAGCGTGACTCGACCTTCCTGGCTGTGCGCTGGGCAGACCGTGCGTTGGGTCACGATGTCACAGCCCAGAGCCCAAGGGCAGAGAGAGAAACCGCGACGGTGCCACGCGGAATCCTCAGCGCTGGCCCTGCGCTGGGCCGGGGACAGTCTCATCACTGTCCCATCCGGACTCCCTCGAGCCGAGCATCCTGAGGGGCTCCCAGCGCCTGTGCACGCACCTGGCCGGCCCCCCTGTGGGCGCACGGCCTCGCCTGCTGCACCGGTCGCAGACCCGGCAGACGTTCCCGAGGGGGTCGGAGCAGGGGAACCGAGGCCCGGGGCAGTGGGCGGCACACAGGGCTCTGCCACGAGGGGCCAGCCCTCTGCGACCCCCACCCCCCGGCGGCACAGGGCTGCAGGGGGCACCCGCCCGCGTCCCCCGGGCCTCACCTCGCAGCAGGTCGGAGAGCGGGGGCCCGCAGCCACCCGGGATGGTGTAGTCCCCCTTCCCGATGTTCTCGAACAGCTTGTAGATGTTGTCGCCCTCGAACGGGTACAGGCCCGTCGTGATGTTGTAGCTTGGCCCCAAGCGGGAGGACAGAGGCCGGTCAGGCGGGGCTTGTCCCGTGGCCCTGGCCCAGAAGCGGCCGGCCCAAGAGCCACACCACTCCCACCCACAGGGCCTCCCTTTGGGGGACAGGAAGGTTCTGGAATAAAGGCTGGTGGCTGGGCCACTGGAAATGCTGGAAAGTGCTGGACCGTACACTTTAGGATGGCGGGTCAGGCACTACACGCAGTCCCTCTCAATGGGATGCCAACCCGCGCCGGTGGCAGCACGGGTGCGCGGGGGACGGAAGGTTCTGGACCCAGGAGCTATGGCCGGCCAGTCCACACCGTGGCCTCGGAAGCCCAGTCACAGGGCCAACACGGAAGTGCCCGGGGTGCGCCCCGACGGCCAGGTCGGGCGGCGTGTGCGACTGGCCGTCTGAGAAGCCGAGTAAAGCATCGGGCCAGAACGTGCCCGCAGGACGTGTGTGGTCAGCTGTGGACCAGGGAGGATAGAGATGGCCTGCGACACTGAGGGGGAGCTGCTCCCATGGGCTGCTAGCTCTGGCTCCGACCTCCCCACAGGAGGAACCATCTCCAGAAGCTTGGAGCCTGAGCTGGGTGGGCAAGCGAGGGGCCCCAGTGTTGGGTGGGGGACTTACAGCGTGACCCCAGCCGACCAGATGTCCACCTTGAAGCCGGAGAAGGTGTCCAGGCCGTTGGCGATCTCGGGCGGCTGGAAGGCGGGGGAGCCTTGGCTCGTCCGGCACGTGTCGTCCTCAGCAAACGGGTGCAGGGCCTGTGACAGAGCCGGGGGAGCCGGGGGCCTCAGGGAGCGGCCCTCAGGGAGGCCCGGCCACCCCGCGCCCCGGGGCGGGCCCCACCTCGGCCACGCCCAGGTCGGAGATCTTGAGCGTGCCGCTGGTGGTGAGCAGCAGGTTGCCCGGCTTGATGTCCTTGTGCACGATGCCCTGGCTGTGCAGGTACTCCAAGCCGTCCACCAGCTGGCGGAAGTACCTGTGGGGCACAGTGGCGCCTACGGTCAAGCAGCAGGGTCAGCCCTGGGGCCTCTGGGGTGGGGCAAAACGCAAGGACGGGCCAGGTAGCCCATCGGGGCCCAAGGGCCCTGGTTGGGGCTGGGCTGCGGTCACCCCCGCCCAGGCTGCCTGGCCCTGTACTTGCCTCTTCCGACCAGGCAGCCCTTCCTCATACCCCGTCATCAGCTCGAGGGTCATGAGACCTCCGCCCCACCGCGCCGGCCTGAAGATGGCCATGCAGCTGCCCGGGGGCCCAGGCTGACCGCCGACCTCCCCTGCACTCACGCCCCAGGCCAGCTGCTCCCACGGCAACGGGGAAGAGGGCAAGACACGCCGGGGGTGCTGCACAAGGCGCTGTCAGGACTTCCGAAGCAGGAGGTCCCACAGCTTCGGGAGCGGGCACACTGGGGCCGGGGTTTATGCAAAGAAGGGGGTGCCCGCCAGAGGTGCTGCAAACCAAGCCCCCGAGCCCTGAGGTGTGAGCCCCCATCCACTGATTATGAGAAAAAGCCGCGGGAAGGGGACTGAGCCTCGGAAGCCCGCGGTCTGCGGAAGGCACGGCGGCCGCACTCACCCGTGAGCCTGGCACACGGGGAAGCGCTTCTCCGGCACGCTGTCCAGCATCTCCTGCATGCCGCACACGCAGTACTCCATGACCATATACGTGCGGCGCTAAGGAAAGCACAGCCTGGCCGGGCCCCCCCCAGGCAGGGCCTGCCCTTGGGGAGCGGGGGACAGGTGCTTGTGGGGACAAGTGCTCGTGGGGACAGGTGCTCATGGGGACAGCTGGGAGAAGGCCCCGAAGGTGCTGGCGGTGGGACACCCGGGCAGCGGGGCCAGGAGAGCCGAAGTGGCCACGTGTCCCAGGGCAGTGGGAGGAGGACCGTGAGCCTGGGCCGGGCAGCCCGGGGTCAGGCTGAAGCCCCCACCCCTGGCTGTGCGTCCCCCGGGGACAGCCCCGAGACAGACACGGAGAGCTGCCTTGCCGGGAACCCTGTCCCGGCACCAGCGAGTCAGTGCGGGCCTCTCAGCGGGACCTGGGCCTCACATGCCTCCCCGGGGGGCTGGAGCCAGCTGGGGCCACATGCTCTGGAGAGAGCTGTCCCCTCAAAAAGGGCTAAGGCCGAGGACATTCCCGTGTTCCTCTAGGGTGACAAAGCTCCCACCCCCCACATGCGAGGCAGGGGCATGCCGGCCACGGGGCCCCAGATGTGCACTCAGACTGAGGCCGGAGAGCACTCCCTCTGTAGACGCGGCACCCGCGGCCGGCCGTGGGCGACAGAGAGCAGAGGGGCAAGCCGTCCCCGGCCGGCTCGGGAACGAGGGGCCCACGGCGCAGCACCCCCTGGCCGAGGATATATCTTCTGCTTCTCTTCGTTGCACAGCACGTCCACCAGCTGGATGACGTTCTTGTGCCGCAGCCTCCGCAGGAGCTGGATCTCCCTGCAGAGGGGACGGGGCGTCAGCCAGGGCCTGGGTGCAAGTGGCCTGCCCTTGGGCCCCCGCTGCCGCGCCCCGTGCTGGTCTGCACAGGGACAGCGCAGGGGCCTCACGGGGACACGCGTATCCACCGCAGACGCGCAGCTGGGAGGCCACACGGGACAGCAGTGTGAGGGCCCCTGTGCGTCGAGTCGGGCTCGCAGGGCCCACCCCGGTCACCGAGGGCTCCCTTCCTCTCCCGGCGCCCTGGAGCCCTCGGCTGCTCCGGGAACAGGCACGGGGAGAAGGCAGCCCCACCAGCCCCGCCACAGAGGACACCACCGTGTCCCACCCACCTGGCACCAACCACACTGCCGGCCTGTGCCCAGGGCCAGGCCCGGGTGCCAGGCCTAGCGCTGCCTGCTCTGCTCCTGGCCTTCCAAGCACTCTGAGCGGGAGAGAGGCCCACAGCTGGGGGCTGCTGGTTGCGGCCCCTTGGAAGGCTGAACGGCCACCAACTGACCTAGTAATTCCGCTCCAGGTTCGTGCCCAGGAGAGCTGCATGCATGCGGCAGCGCCCCCCGCCCCAAGTGGGAAGCAGCCCCGTGTCCACCACGGAGGACGGGCCCTCGGGCACGGCAGCAGTGGCTCCACGCGGCTGACTGCCAAGGCCGACACAGCTGTGCACGCGGCTCGCACCACCCAGGACCGCACAGCTGCAGCGCTGCCAGCCGGGGGCTCTGGGGGAGCACATCCCAGGTCCTCACTGGAAAGGGGACAGGCCCACAGCTCTGCGTCCCCATGTCCAGAGACAGCCCAGGCCCAGAACCATCCCCCAGGCTGTGTCCCCGTCTGCCCACTGTCACCGAATTCTGACGCGAAGCGGATGACGATGCACTGTCCTGTGCAGCGAGACAGCTAAGCGCCCCTATTGATGTCAGTAAAATGTGTTCTTAAAAAAAAAAAAACCAAAAACCACAAAAACAGTTCACAAGCTTCATGTGCTGCCCACAGGGATGGAGGTGGGCGGTATCCGTCCAGTTCCCGGATCAAGGCGCTCTGTGCACACTTGCGAGCCCCGGCGCTTACACCGGGAAAGAGGGACGTGCCGTCCACCTCCTGGAGACCCAGCAGTGGTGGGGACCACGTGCCCTGGCGGCGGGACTGTGTGTGCAGCCGGTGACACAGTGACCTGCAAGGTCACTGCAGGCGTGCAGTCGGCACGGCCTGAGCCGTGAGCTAACACAGAGGCAGGGGCACGAGGGGCCTCCGTCACCGTCTGCCGCTTTCGACGGCTCCTACGAGCTGCCCCTGTGCCTGGGAAGGGAGAGCGTTTGAAGAGAACGGGAAGCCGAGCGGCTGGCAGGAAGTGAGGGAGGAAGCGGGCCTTCCGGGCCAGAGAGGCGGCGGCTGCGGCTGCTGCTCGAGACCTGCCCGCCGGCGCTGCCCCGGCCAAGGTCTGTCGGTGACTCAGCGACTAACCAGAGGGAGACCACAGAGCCGGGGCCGCGAAGCTGGTCACACACGCAGAGGAACGGAAAGTGGCCGCCTCGCTGGCCAGCCAGGGGAGACGGGGTCCCCCAGGCCGTGAACCACCCACCCTGCTCCCTCCAGATGGGGGCAGACCTCGGCCGATGGCGGCTCTGCCACAGGGACACTGAGCACGACGGCCCCATCCCCGCCGCTGTGGCCACCCTCCTGACGCCTCTAAACACAAGGCACCGGGCCCTCGAGGCAGGAGGGGACTGAAATCCGGGGAACTCGCTTCGCCGCGAGCCATCACAGACCCCTGTGCACGAACGTCCACGGCAGCAGCATTCACGCTGACCGAGGTGGACACAACCCACGCGTCCATCCTCGGTCCAACGTGCCCATCCACACGGGACAGTGTTGCTCGGCCATGAAAAGCAGGGGGAGGCGATGACACTCGCCATGACGAGGACAGACCCCGAACACACGACACTCATGAGGAACGCCGGACACATGGCCACACGGGCTGTGACTCCACGTACATGACACGTCCAGAATGGACACGTCCACAGACAGGAAGTGGGTTAGTGGTTGTCAAGGGCTGGGAGGGGATGGGGTGACTGGAGACGAGGGTTTCTTTGGGGTGATGGGATGTTCTGGAAAAAGGTAGGAGTGAATATTTCACAATCTGTGAAAGTACCAAATGCTACTGAATTGAACGTTAACGGTGAATTTTATGCTACTTAAAATTATATCTCAGAAAGCCATTAAAAAAATAAACTATAATTCAGCCACAGGGTAGACGTGGAATAAAGGGCAGGTCCAGCTGTGACACCCGGCACACGGGCACGGAGTCACCATCTGCACACGCCGCGCTCCCTCCACGTGAGGGAGTGCCGCCCGTGCCCCCGCCCCTGCCGGGGGGACCAGCACACCCGTCAGCGCCCAGGACGTGAGTTGGGGTGAGCCGTCCCTCCTGCTGTTGCCTCTGGCAGCCGGCCCGTCTAGTCTCACGGCGGAACCCTTCCCGACCCTGAGACGGGAGCGGGTGCTGGGACCTTGTGGCGGCCAGTCCAAGCCTCTGGTTCTCCACGTGCTAAAATCCCAACCATTCACCACCCAGACCCGAGTACCCGCCAATCAGCAAGGCGGGCCCAGCCTCGCCAGGCCCGGCCTGGAAACTGGTGTCCACTCACAGAGCCACCACCCCTCTGCCAAGGTCCCGGCCACACAGGGAGCAGAGCAGCCAAGGGGAAGGGAACGGCCCGGGTGGCCAAGCACATCATACTGCGTCGCTTCCCAGACACAGACGGCGGGCATGACACCAGCCTAATGGGGAAGGGGTGGTAGGGACACAGCTGCTGTCAACACCGGCGCACAGGCTGGGGAGCCAGAGGCCTGCACGGACGATGTCAAACGCACGCACGCTCCCTCTGACCCAGAAACTCCACTTCCGGCGTGGTGCCCTCCAGACGCCCTTGGGCTCAGCACGCCCAGTGGCACACAGTAACTCACCGACACAGCAGACACGTCCGCAGCACAGGGCGGGTCAGAGCCCCCATGGGACAAAAAGACAGGTGCGCTCAGGCTGCGGGACAGGCCGCCCCTGAGCGAGAGAAAAACTCTTTTCACGTTTCTAAACGGTCGATGAAAAAAAACAGAAAACCAAACACCGCGAAGACCTCCATGCGGTGCCACCAAGGGCTCCCCAAGTTCGAGCTGCGGTGCCTGAGCAACTGCCCTGTGGCCTGAGTGCAGCCAGCAGGGCTGGAGCCACTCAGCCCTGCACCCCAAAGCAAGGCCGCCTGAGAGGGAGCCCCGCTGTCCCCCATACGAGGGAGTGGGGCATGGGGGCAAGCCCATCAGGTGCCTGTCACAGCTTGGACGTGTGCGTTTTCACCGCCCACGCGAAAAAGACAAAAACGTGACTTATTTTTTACAGGGACCTTTAGGGTCCTCCCGGGGCCAAATGCAGCTTGCATGGGGGATGGCGACACCATCGGGGCGGCTGGCGGTGCTACACCCGGGAGCCAACGCCGCTTCCCCTCGGCACCAGGGCCCCATGCAGGGTGGGCCCACCCCATCTCCCCTGGGACTTCGGGAGGTGCGGCGGTCCCGACCTCGCCTGCGAACCCGGGTGGACGGGACAGTTCAGGGCCAGCCCTGCACCCCAAGGGGCACCTGGATGGGGGGGCCCCCGCACACAGGTCCAGGCGTGAGCTGGAGCTGAAATTGGGCGCGGGCTGCTGCTGTCTGGCTGGCTGTGGACCGCCGGCCACTGGCCTCTCTCGCCTCGGTCCCCCTCCAGGGACACCGAGGGACCCAGCTTCATGCGGCCCTCACATCATACACCGTGCATCTCTGCAGGCTCCTGGGACCTTTGCTGATCCGTCAGGAAACCAGGAGCCCTACGCCAGTGCTCTGTGGCCCTCTAGCCGGGTCTGGCCATTTGTGTCTCCAGCGGAGCATGAAAAAGCTCTCAGTGATGAAATGCCCTCTAACTTGACCTTGGCGTGTGCAAACTGCGCCTCAAGCATGGGTGCCTTCTTACAGGGACACTACCCGCTAACGAAGGGGGCCCTCGCCCACCTGACACCACTCTGTCACGGCATGCTCTGCGACCTTCTGGGACCTGCTCGTTTGCTGCCACCAGTCAGTGCTCTGGTAGAAACTATGCCCAGAGGCCCCCAGGACAGCCAGCAGGGGGTCTTGGCTGACTAGCTACACAGATAGACCGGTGCTGGAATCCAGACTCTTGGATGGGACTCTGGGGCTACCTCGGGGGCTGCTCCTGAAAGGCGGGGGCCTGGCGTGCATGGCAGCATGGCGTCACGGGATCAGCACCAGAACCGCCGACGGACTGGTGCCCACTCTCAGCCAAGCGAGAGAGACTGGAGCCCGTTCCAGGAGCTGGGGGTGAGCCCTGAGAGGAGCCGGGGCACAGGGTCGATTTCCGGGGGCAGCACCCCCGATGCAGGAGCACGCTGTACCCACCCGCAGTGGGGGCAGCGCGAGAACCATATCGACCCCATGCGCTCCTGGCTTATGTAGAAACCTGACTTAGAGACCGGCAGTCAAGTGGGGCTTTCTAACTTGAAGGTGAAGGTCACTTGGTCCTCAGGAGGGCAGCTGCTCCTCAGGGCCCCAGTCCCCCCCGCCCCCCACCCTGTATCCCCCACCTCACAGGTGGAGAGACTGGCCTAGGGCACTGACCAACTGGCCCTAGGGCACCAGCCAGGCCTCTCCCAGTATTGGCAGGTGAGCTGTAAGAAGGCCTCCCTATGCCACCGGCCCTGCCCACTGCCCTGCCCACCGCGAGGCCCACCTGCTGAAGCCCAGGCGGTTGGGCCCCAGTTCTCCGCTCCGCCCACTTCACATCCCAGGAGGTCCCAGCGCAAGTGCAAAGGGCTCAGCTCGCCCTCCAGCGGGGAGGAGGGAGGTGAAGGCAGAGCCAGTGAACAGCTCCCAGGACGGGCTTGGCAGGCACTTGGCTGTCCAAGGTCACAGTCAGTCCTGTGCCTGGCCCCTTAGATAAAGCCCTCCTGGGAATCTAGAGGCTGGGAGGAGTGCGGGTGTGGGCAGGGCGAGGTCCCACACCGGGCAGCAAAAGGAGGGGCGCCCCCATCCTGAGACCAGCAAGAGGAAAGTGGCAGGGCGCCCACCGCGCAGACCCCAGCCCCTCCGAGGAGTGCAGGAGCGGGCGGCACAGGAAGAAGTTTGTGGAGAAAGTTCGCCAGGACACAAGCTACCCCTCTCTGGGAGCCGCCAAGGCCTGCAGTCAGGGTTGTGCAGGTCACAGCCCAGGCTGCAGGAACGGCCGAGCCCCCCCCACCCCCCCGCAGCCTGATAAGCCAGTGCAAACAATTGCTTTTGGCAACCGCAGGGTTCCCCTCCAACAGGACACACAAATCGTGTTTCGCCTGGCGCTGGTACCGGCCGCTGGCTGGGCGGAAGACCTGCCGGCCGCCAGGGTCATTTCCGGGCAGAA